CTTCGCTAAAACTTAAGACATTCAACAGGTATACTAGAGGGGCTTAGGCCATCTGCCAGTCAATGGCCAATCACAAACTACTACTAATCAATAAACGTGATACAACTCAGATATTTATTGATTGACCAGTAGTTGATATACAGATTTCTCCAGCCATTTAAATGTCTGTGGATCGCTTTTAAGGACGTACTCCGTCAGTGGCGTCGCTTGAACGTCCAGACTAGGGGGGTATGGAGGGTCATCAATAGACAAATTTACCGACAAAGACATAGATGGAGATGAATTTAGGTGCAATTTCGCCTACTGAGAGAAAATTTTACCGACAAACTAAGGATTTTTTAGACAGACCGATGAATTCGTGAAGCAGTGGGGGAGGGGGTGTTACTACCCCTATAAATCCAAATCCCCATCTGGCCACCGATTTCTCCAACAAATCGTTCAGCAGTGTACATCGGCATTTCAGTTACTTTTTTTATTGTATTTCTCCAAAGAATACATTAACGGCGATAAGATTATTCCGAATATAATCCTCTTTCTGCTCACTTCCATTGATTGAACGAAGACGGCCAATCATTTCTTCCTACTGATCTATATATTCTGTGGATGGCCATTTCGAGTGCGAAGAATAATTGCGAAATTTTGTTTCATTGCAAGGCAGGCCACAGTTGCAAGGAGGCAAACAATGTTTTTTATTTGCAAACAATGTCAAAGATCTTTTATTACGCGGTCTGTGCATTAACAGTTGTTTTGATGTACCAGTAATGGTACCAGTTTTGATGTTTCCTTTGTGCCAAGACGAAACCATTGCAAATGGTAAACAAATTCAAATTTTTGTTGTTTGTGAAATCTTAGCGAAACAGCCGCCACTTTACGTTGCAAAAACAAATAGCGCGTTAACTAGTCATAGACAAAAGAACGTCAAACGGTTTCAAAAAGCTTAACACTTGATCTTCTTTCAAAATCACTGGTGAAGTTGAGAGTCTGCCATTGAAAAATATTTACATGGATACCGAGATTGTGGCAAAAATTATAATGGCAACCTGTTTTGGATAATTAGTAGAGCCGGTAGTCATTGCTCCGGCTGCTTTAGAATCCAGTTACGTACAACTGAAAAGCTGCCGTTGTGTAGACAGTTTTCACTCTCGAACCATTTGTGATATTCTCTACAGGCAAACGGCATTGATTGGGCAACCTCAACAGTCACGTGCTCGCGTTTCTGATTTGCCTATTTCGATCCACAACTTCGTATATATATTTTCTAGCGTAGAGTTTTTTATCTATGTTCTGAAATATTATACTGTGAAGAGTGTCACACGAAGAGCTTTAATAAAATGAAATACGAAAAGCTTTCATATAAAGCCTCTGATTTCTAGGCGAATAAATCACAAGGCATGGTCAGCTTTAGAGGGAGGGCCAAGACATTGCTCGATATACATAGCTTCTCAGTGCCCTAAAAATACCTTTGGAAGCTAGGTAGTAACATGTTACAAATACATCATGGATATAGCGCCAACTTTGGTAGAGCAAGGGCTAATAGCAATTCCTATAGCACCCCAGTTTACATTTACCTGAAGGTTGAGAAGAAAAAGGGGCACCTTCAATGAAGACATGTTTTGCGATACATTGCTTCGTAATCGGAAACAGTTGATGAAAAACTTTTTAGAACCCTTGTATCGTTGCGGTATCGATATGAATGAACACAACCTGTGTACCTGCAATGCATTCAGAACTGATTGCTAATTAATATCAATAGGTAAACGACAAATGGGTAGTGGAAGAAGAGACACTTGATTGAATCTCAAACAGAAGTTATAAAAAAAGTTCCAGGTTCTTCACAATTTTAAAGATGGATCAAAGAACAGAAATTGATTTAAAAAAATCAGCAGCGAGTGTGACCATGCATGGATTCGGAAGATTGTTTTCGACCAAATCAAAGGCAATGAGATGCATCTGGCTGAAGATCAAGAAGATCAAGTGTTAAGCTTTTTGAAACCGTTTGACATTCTTTTGTCTATGGCTAGTTAACGCGCTATTTGTTTTTGCAACGTAAAGTGGCGGCTGTTTCGCTAATATTTCAATCAACAAAAATTTGAAATTGTTTAGCATTTGAATTGGTTTTTTTCTGCACAAAGGAAACGTCAAAACTGGTACCGTTACTTGTACATCAAAACAACTTTTAATAGGGGTTAAAGATACATACTTCTGTATCAATAAATTCCTTTGCATCATTAAAAATTCGGCTTGGATATAAAGGGAATAAATTAATCAAATATTCAAGCATTGTAGCGCCTTTCTATAAAAGTTTAATTTTTCTTTTTTGTGAAAGAGCGAAGAAGCCAATCAGGAAACTCTTGCACCATTGACCAAACCAATCAGATCATCTACATAAAATCAACATTCGTGTTTATATGTAGATGATATCGTTGAATTAAATGCAGATGTATTAAGGCAGGTTAAAAGCATGTTGTTTGTTAGAAGCGCGAACTCGTAGTTGGAAAAATTAGCTTAATTTCGAAAACGTCTTGTTATAAAAGTGTAAGTCATGGAGCTCAAGGATTCGGCTGCGAATATGTCAATGCATGGGTTTGGAAGGATATTCATTAGCAAATCGAAGCGAATACAATTCGTCTGGTTGGTGATCATGATCTGTAACTTGGTCATTTTCAATATTTGTTTTATTTCACTGTTGAGATACTATCTAAGTAACCCATCAATGACAAAAAGTGAAACGGTTATCACTTCTAAAATTCGTTTTCCCAGTGTTACGGTTTGTGGGCCTAGCGTCAGCAAACACAAACTGGAACGATTTGCAGAAGAATCCAATAAAACTATCCAGGTAGATTTTGACGTCAACAAGAAGTTCCCACACCCCTTTTTCCGCAGTGAAGAAATATTACAGAATTTATCAACGGTTGAAAACTATTGGAGAATTATACCTGACATGGAGAGTCTTTTCATGACGAATACCTCAGGATTTTGCACATTTGCCACTCTAGAGAAATGCAATTTCACAAGTGACATCGGAAGAGTACTAGTATTTTACAAAGGTGTTTGCAATAAAGTGAACATGAACGGAAAATATTTTCAGAAAAAACCTGGTTCCTTACATGGGCTTTCATTCATATTGTTTGTTAATATATCTGACGTTGTTCCATGGGCATTGTCAAGCGAAGGCGACTCGGTGTACGTTGATATAAAGGAGTTTGACGAGCCTGTATTTCATGGTTCAGGTTCTATACTTGCATCAGTAGGACAATTAACACGAATCGAAATTAGCAAAACCGTGGTAACCCGGCTTAAAAGTCCCTTCCATTCGAATTGCACAAATGGGGAAAATAAACCACTGCTGTTTGAGGGAACATACACAATTGAAAATTGTCATATTACATGTGCACTGAACATGGCACACAAACAATGTAAAAGCATTGACTTTCACAATAATATGTTCTTGCCGGAACATATGAGAAAAAATTCAACTAATATAAGTGAAGCAGTTGCCTGCAGCACTAGCATCTACAATTATCTGATTGACACAAACTTTGAATCATGTCACTGCCAGTTACCATGCATGGAAACAAAGTTCCACAAGACTGTTTCAACCGCAAAATGGCCGCCTAAAAACGATCTCCCAGCGTACAAAGCATTAGCAAGTGCAGCCTTTGGACTTAACAAAAGCGAAGTGACAGATGAATTTATCAGAAATAACTTCCTTAAGATCGATGTATATTTTGGTGAATTGAGCTTCCAAAAGATCACCGAAGTTGAAGAATTTACAACCGTGAAGCTCATATCTGATATTGGTGGACAGATGGGAATTTGGGTAGGTGCGTCTGTTTTTTCGGTGGTGGAGCTTCTTTTCTTGCTATGGCAGTCAATCAAGTATTTTGTAAATAGAAATAACATAACCGAGGAACATCCAGATAACTAAAGCATATCAAAATCGTGTCTAGCGGTATCTTAAAGGCAATCTGTCACGACGTTGATTGATCATAAGAACAAAGGGATTTTTTATTTTTTCCAGTCCCCCTTTAATTTATCGCATTGTGAAAAATATGGCGGAGCGCTGGAATTGTGTTTAGGCTATTGTTCCAGCTATTGTTCTCGTTAACCAATCCACAACGAGAAAGATTGCCTTTAAGAATCATGGAATCGCAGCCTTGGAGAGCGCCGTTGTGTTAAAGCAACATTGGAAAATTACAAACAATAACATGACAACTTTTACAAAGTTAAGAAAGGGTATGCAAATGCATCTAAATGACAGATGTGTAAATAGATTCGTCATGTAATGGCAGAAAAGGATGGACTATTGTGGTAGAATTTCGAGTATCCCTGATATTTTCCATAATGTGATAATATTCTGACGTTGGAATTTACTTAATCTTGACATTAATTTGTACATGTTTTTTTTAAAGTTAGCGTCTCGTGGAAGGGCCGTTTGTTATGTTATTTTATGTTGTTAATAATTCGTCGCGTTTTTCCATCGGTTCTAAGGAGACATCCGTAAATATTAACAATTATATCTGAAGCATAAATGCTGCAACCGTATATATTGACAAAAGCACTAATTACAAATTAATACAAAACTAAATAACGAAATCATCATGGAAGGTCATCAAGCGAAAAACTTACCGGCGAAGACAGATGAAGAAAGTTTAGGGGCTAATTGACTTCCCGACAAACAATTTTGCAGCAAACTAAGGATTTTGTGGAAGATTTTCCGACCAACTCATGAAGAATCAGGGGTGTCACATCCTCCTATACAAGGATTTGTGTTTGTTTTTAGTGGATAATGTTAGGGAAAGGCCCCGCACACTATAACAAAGCCCTAAGCAAGTAAAAGAGGGAAAGAGGAAGGTATTAAGAAGAAAAGGGGGTACCATCAAGTTTGCTGTTTTTATCTTTTACTAAAAATATGCTGTACTTTTAGAGTTTTTCACCTTAATATTCTTGAGAAGTAGACAAACTTTAATAATTGCAAAGTTCCGATCTGAGTATTGTTGTTGTCAATTATTCGTTAGCGAATGTAACCTTCCATTTGAACTATATCTTCAACTAAACCCAATGTCCAAACATTTTTATTAGTAAAACTTTTCACTGCAGAATAAAACTGTCTGTAACTGCAACCATTTTCAGTTGCCCAATAACGAATAGTTAAAAACAATCCCTCTTGACTGCCTTATGTAGAGAAACAAGAGGTAAAAAAGCCAACATACCTGATCCTGAAGGAATTTGTCATCCGCTTTTCAAGTGCGCATATTGAAGCAAACTGCAATATAAATTTCGCTTTTTCACATACTAGAAACAATAATTTGTTTATTTAGAAAACAATTTTTAAGGAAAAGAAGGAAAAGAGGAGCAGTCACTACAACCTGGTGGCAACTTTCTGCAAAGAAAGAGGTATTCCGTTATGACCTTAATGTGAAATGTTGGATCGTTTGAACACCATGTTTTGTTGGGTCGAATTTTATATAAACGAGGCGCAAAGCAGAGCGAAAATAAATTTCAATTCAAGTAACCAATTCTAATAGAGACGTGCTATCGTTTGAATCGCCAAGGGAAATCTGCGGTCATTAGCTCCACTCCTTTGCGGAATTCCTGATGGTTCTGGATCACAGCACGCTCCTCTCCAAAGCATTTGTTTGTTTCTAACTGAACAAGTAGAGGGAGGTGCTTTGCTTTTGATCCCAGATGACCTGCTAGGAGAAAGCCAAAGCATAAAGTAGAGTTAATGGAAAGGAAAAAAAACAGGTGTTCCTCAAGGTCCGGTTCTTGGTTCCATTCTTTTGGGCAATGGTGCAGATGACGACACAAATTGGATTGAAAATATGCATAGGCGACACAGCGTGGGGGCTGGCGCCTGTATCGTTTATAAAATTGAAGTCGCGAGCCTTACAGAGTTGTGCCTCACACTAACGATTATGGTAGGATCTCCAGTAGAAACCTAAATGTCGCCTTCTTTGCTCGTGCTAGCTAAATTTTCTAAAACGCCAACTCGCTTCCAGGTCTCTATTGTCCTGAATTGTCCACTAAAGTTCACTACTAAACAACAGAACAAATAATTTTTATGACAAAGTGCTGTACAGAGATACGAGTAAATGTAGAGCGTAGTGGAGAGAAGGGTTTTCCCTTTTTTGCTATTTGAAACAAACTTAACTTCTATATTAATGAACACAGCAGTGCAAGCAGCGTAGCAAATACTGATATATTGATAAGAGAAGGGACGAATCACTAGAACGAGGCAAAAGGGGCATGGTCACACTGGCCACGCCCATTACCCTCCCACTCTGTAATAGCTGGCGCCGGCACTGCGACTGTTCAATGGTAATCGGACTGTTGAAATGTTTTAATACAGGAATGTTGGAGGGTTAGGGTATTGGAATGTGAAAACAAAAAATTTATGTCTTCTAAAGAAGATCCTCCCTTTTCAATAAGTTATCGTTCTTAGGACCAAATGTATTTACGATTGCACTTGTCATCATTTTGCTATACAGGTTATGTACATCGCATTCCTGCACTCCGATAATTCAGAAATCTGATGAAAGCATTTCATATTTAATTTATTAAAGCTCTTCATATGACACTCTTCACAGTAAAATGTTTTGGAACATTGGTCGAAAACTCTAAACTAGGAAGTATATATACCAAGTTGTGGATCGAAATAGGCCAAATAGATACGCGAGCAGACGACTGGCGAGGTTGCCCAATCAGTGCCGTTTGCCTGTAGAGAATATCACAAATTGTTCAAAAGTGAAAACTGTCTACACAACGGCAGCTTTTCAGTTGTACGTAACTGGATTCTAAAGCAGCTGGAGCAATGACTACCGGCTCTACCAATTATCCAAAAACATGTTGCCACAATCTCGGTATTCATGTAAATATTATTCAATGGCAGAATCTCATCTTAACCATTGATTTTGAAAGAGGATCAAGTGTTAAGCTTTTTGAAACCGTTTGACATTCTTCTGTCCACGACTAGCTAGCGCGCTATTTGTTTTTGCAACGTAAAGTGACAGCTGCTTCGCAAAAAGCCATATTTCTAGATATTCTAGATCTACGTGTACACTTTCGTTAATATTCGCCAAAGAATTTGATAAAAACGATAGGCTTGTATTATCAGCATCCATGTTTACTTTCACCGATTTAAGGGTGGGGGAAGATCGTAAAATTAGTTCCAAGAAAAGATGTTCAATGGCCATTCTTCGAATGGGTTTCTTGCATTTCATTCGTCTTCCAGATTGTTAGATACCATTATGTTATGTGTTGACAAAAAATCTTTCTCACAACAAGGCCCAATTTGCTACTGGAATTGGGCCTGGTTCAAGGTGGTGACAACATTAGAGGGCCAAATCTTAACGAGGAATGAAAAACTTTAGTGGATAGAACAAGATATGCATAATACAAAAATTTACATTGTTATCTTCCCATTCCTCTTTGTAACTTTGAAGGTTAATCTACGAATAGACATTCTACGTGAAAAGCACATTTTTCACAAGGTGAGTCGAAGCAGAGTAAAATGCCATAAAGTAAAACGCTTTTTGCGAGTCAAAGCAGAGGACAACGCTTTTTGCGAAGCAGCTGTCTTTTTACGTTGCAAAAACAATTTCCGATAGTTTTCAAAATTAAATGCATTAAAATTTTTTTGATGCTGTTTTAAGCGATACTGTAGCGCGTGGTAGCAAAAAAATTATTTAGTTGCGGTGCGTTTTAAACAAAATAGCCAAAGGGACACAGTTAAATTGAATTTCTATTCTAAGTGCTACAAGATTTGATAAGTTACGCTCTCGTTTCAATGACAAAGAGTTTGTTGAAATAGCAACAAGCTTTTTGAAAATATCATAATTCTGACTTCTTCTAGATTTATTGTATTTTATCACATGATTTGCTTGACACTAACGATAGATTTTATCAAATAGTGTTGTATTCACAATATGTTTTTGCCAAATGCAAATAATCTTTCAATAAATGCACGGTTGAAATAAGAAAGCATTTTTAATTTCTTTGACATTCTTTAAAACATAACTTTCTCATTGATTAAACTAAATTATAGGGAAAACAAAGAAAATATGCTATTTCATAAAAAACTGATCTATGGTTGTAATAAAGCTTTTTGTTAAGATAACATTTAAAGCAAAAACAGATTAAAAATCTCATCCTAAATATTTCACAACCAACAAACATTTTAAGTTGTTTAGCATTTGAATTGGTTTCTTTTCTGCACAAAGGAAACCTCAAAAACCATACTGTTACTGGTAAATCAAAACAATTTTTAATAGGGTTTGAAGATACATACTTCTGTATCAATAAAGTCCTTTGCTTTATCAAACATTCGGCTTGGATATAAAGGGAATAAATTGATCAAATATTCAAGCATTGTAGCGCCTTCTATAAAAGTTTAATTTTTCTTTTTTGTGAAAGAGCGAAGAAGCCAATCAGGAAACTCTTGCACCATTGACCAAACCAATCAGATCATCTACATAAAATCAACATTCATGTTTATATGTAGATGATATCGTTGAATTAAATGCAGATGTATTAAGGCAGGTTAAAAGCATGTTATTTGTTAAAAGCGCCAACTCGTAGTTGGAAAAATTAGCTTGATTTCTAAAACGTCTTGTTATAAAAGTGTAAGTCATGGAGCTCAAGGATTCGGCTGCGAATATGTCAATGCATGGATTTGGAAGGATATTCATTAGCAAATCGAAGCGAACACAATTCGTCTGGTTGGTGATCATGATCTGTAACTTGGTCATTTTCAATATTTGTGTTATTTCACTGTTGAGATACTATCTAAGTAACCCATCCATGACAAAAAGTGAAACGGTTATCACTTCAAAAATTCGTTTTCCCAGTGTTACGGTTTGTGGGCCTAGCGTCAGCAAACACAAACTGGAACGATTTGCAGAAGAATCCAATAAAACTATCCAGGTAGATTTTGACGTCAACAAGAAGTTCTCACACCCCTATCTCCGCAGTGAAGAAATCTTACAGAATTTGTCAACGGTTGAAAACTATTGGAGAATTATACCTGACATGGAGAGTCTTTTCTTGACAAATACTTCAGGATTTTGCACATTTGCCACTCTAGAGAAATGCAATTTCACAAGTGACATCGGAAGAGTACCAGTATTTTACAAAGGTATTTGCAGTAAGGTAAACATGAACGGAAAATATTTTCAGAAAAAACCTGGTTCCTTACATGGGCTTTCATTCATATTGTTTGTTAATATATCTGACGTTGTTCCATGGGCATTGTCAAGCGAAGGCGACTCGGTGTACGTTGATATAAAGGAGTTTGACGAGCCTGTATTTCATGGTTCAGGTTCTATACTTGCATCAGTAGGACAATTAACACGAATCGAAATTAGCAAAACCGTGGTAACCCGGCTTAAAAGTCCCTTCCATTCGAATTGCACAAATGGGGAAAATAAACCACTGCTGTTTGAGGGAACATACACAATTGAAAATTGTCATATTACATGTGCACTGAACATGGCACACAAACAATGTAAAAGCATTGACTTTCACAATAATATGTTCTTGCCGGAACATATGAGAAAAAATTCAACTAATATAAGTGAAGCAGTTGCCTGCAGCACTAGCATCTACAATTATCTGATTGACACAAACTTTGAATCATGTCACTGCCAGTTACCATGCATGGAAACAAAGTTCCACAAGACTGTTTCAACCGCAAAATGGCCGCCTAAAAACGATCTCCCAGCGTACAAAGCATTAGCAAGTGCAGCCTTTGGACTTAACAAAAGCGAAGTGACAGATGAATTTATCAGAAATAACTTCCTTAAGATCGATGTATATTTTGGTGAATTGAGCTTCCAAAAGATCACCGAAGTTGAAGAATTTACAACCGTCAAGCTCATATCTGATATTGGTGGACAGATGGGAATTTGGTTAGGTGCGTCTGTTTTTTCGGTGGTAGAGCTTCTTTTCTTGCTATGGCAGTCAATCAAGTATTTTGTAAATAGAAATAACATCACCGAGGAACATCCAGATAACTAAAGCATATCAAAATCGTGTCTAGCGGTATCTTAAAGGCAATCTGTCACGACGTTGATTGATCATAAGAACAAAGGGATTTTTTATTTTTTCCAGTCCCCCTTTAATTTATCGCATTGTGAAAAACATGGCGGAGCGCTGGAATTGTGTTTAGGCTATTGTTCCAGCTATTGTTCTCGTTAACCAATCCACAACGAGAAAGATTGCCTTTAAGAATCATGGAATCGCAGTCCTGGAGAGCGCCGTTGTGTTAAAGCAACATTGGAAAATTACAAACAATAACATGACAACTTTTACAAAGTTAAGAAAGGGTATGCAAATGCATCTAAATGACAGATGTGTAAATAGATTCGTCATGTAATGGCTATTGTGGTAGAATTTCGAGTATCCCTGATATTTTCCATAATGTGATAATATTCTGACGTTGGAATTTACTTAATCTTGACATTAATTTGTACATGTTTTTTTTAAAGTTAGCGTCTCGTGGAAGGGCCGTATGTTATGTTATTTTATGTTGTTAATAATTCGTCGCGTTTTTCCATCGGTTCTAAGGAGACATCCGTAAATATTAACAATTATATCTGAAGCATAAATGCTGCCACCGTATATATTGAAAAAAGCACTAATTACAAATTAATACAAAACTAAATAACGAAATCATCATGGAAGGTCATCAAGCGAAAAACTTACCGGCGAAGACAGATGAAGAAAGTTTAGGGGCTAATTGACTTCCCGACAAACAATTTTGCAGCAAACTAAGGATTTTGTGGAAGATTTACCGACCAACTCATGAAGAATCAGGAGTGTCACATCCTCCTATACAAGGATTTGTGTTTGTTTTTAGTGGATAATGTTAGGGAAAGGCCCCGCACACTATAACAAAGCCCTAAGCAAGTAAAAGAGGGAAAGAGGAAGGAATTAAAAAGAAAAAGGGGTACGATCAAGTTTGCTGTTTTTATCTTTTTCTAAGAATATGCTGTACTTTTAGCGTTTTTCACCTTAATATTTTTGAGAAGTAGACAAACTTTAATAATTGCAAAGTTCCGATCTGAGTATTGTGGTTGTCAATTAGTCGTTAGCGAATGTAACCTTCATCTTCCATTTGAATTATATCTTCAACTAAACCCAATGTCCAAACATTTTTATAAGTAAAACTTTTCACTGCAGAATAAAACTGTCTGTAACTGCAACCATTTTCAGTTGCCCAATAACGAATAGATAAAAACAATCCCTCTTGACTGCCTTATGTAGAGAAACAAGAGATAAAAAAGGCAACATACCTCATACTGAAGGAATTTGTCATCTGCCTTTCAACTGAGCATATTCAAGCAAACTGCAATAGAAATTTCGCTTTTTCACATACCAGAAA